ATGCCAATCAACCTCTGCATCCTCACACTCTTCATCTTCACTACTTTCCCTTGCCATGGACAATCCCAAACCACTTCTGACAGATCAATTCTTCTTGATTTAAAGAAGCACTTTTTGAATTCACCAAACATCTCTCATCACTGGACTTCATCATCAGACCACTGTACCTGGCTGGGAATCACCTGCAGGAATGGCGTCGTCACCAAAATTCAGCTTGGTAGCCTAATCATCAACGACACAATCCCACCCTTCATATGCGACCTCAAAAATCTCACTCATCTTGATCTCAACAACAACAATATCCCTGGATCATTTCCTGCATTTCTGTACAATTGTTCCAAGCTTGAATACATGGACCTTTCTTTTAACAACATCAGTGGCATCATACCTGATGATATTAGCCTGCTTTTTCCTCGACTAGAGGTTCTTAACCTGACTTCTAACTGGTTCGTGGGCGGTGTTCCAGCTGAATTGAAGGCCTAAAAGCTCTAAAAGAACTTCAGCTAGCTGACCTGTTCACAAATGGCTCATTCCCTTCAGAGATTGGCAACTTGTTGAATCTTGAAGTTCTTGTTCTTAGCCAGAATAGTTTCTCACCGCAGGAAATCCCACCGAGTTTTATCCAGTTGAAGAAACTGAGACACCTCTGGATGAAAGAGGCTGAGTTGATTGGCAAAATCCCGGAAAATATCAGCAGCATGGAAGCACTAGAGTACCTGGATTTATGCAAAAATTACTTGAGTGGAAACATTCCAAGTCACTTGTTCCTGCTCAAGAATTTGACCACGGTTTTCCTCTACACAAACAGATTGTCTGGGCCTATTCCCCGTCCAGTTATGGCCTTGAATTTGAATGCAATCGATTTTTCTAATAACAGCTTGACGGGAAGCATTCCAGAAGACTTTGGAAAGCTGACAAAGTTGGAGGATTTGGCCTTGTTCATGAATCAATTATCAGGCGAAATACCAGTAGGCATCGGTAGATTGCCAGCACTGTCTTCTATTGAACTCTTCATGAACAATCTGTCAGGTGAACTTCCGCCAGATTTTGGTCGATTTTCAAAACTTCAAGTTTTTGATGTCTCCACAAACCATCTTACAGGATCACTACCAGATGGTTTGTGTGATAATAAGGTGTTGGCTACCATGATTGCCTTTGACAACAATCTCACGGGTGAGCTACCAAAATCACTTGAGGATTGTAACACCTTGAATGGAGTCAGGGTTGAGAGAAACAATCTTTCTGGTACAATTCCTAATGGTGTGTGGACAGCTGGGCCTTTGACAAGGTTGTTGATTAACAATAACCAGTTCACTGGTCAGCTTCCACAAAGGGTGGCATCAAATTTATCTCTAGTTGATATCAGCAACAACCGATTTTCGGGTGAAATTCCTCCTGCAATCTCTTCTTGGAGCAAGCTAGATACCTTCCGGGCAAGCAATAATTTCTTAACAGGTAAAATTCCTCAAGAACTCACGGCTCTTAGTTCTTTATCAGTCCTGAAGCTTGATGGGAATAAGCTTTCTGGAAATTTTCCTAAAAATATTATATCTTGGAAGTGGTTGTCCACATTGAATTGCAGTAGAAATGAGCTTTCCGGCACAATCCCTCCAGCACTAGGTCTTTTACCAAACCTTTATCAGCTAGACCTGTCTGAAAACCAATTCTCCGGGGAAATCCCACCGGAAATAGGCCGTAAACCAATTTCACTCAATCTGTCCTCCAATCATCTCTCGGGGAAAATCCCAGACCAATTTGAAGATGCAGCTTTTGAAAAGAGCTTCTTGAATAATCCTGGTCTTTGTGCTACTACGCCCTCATTAGGCCTCAGGGATTGTGGGAAATCAAAAAAGATTTCAGCCGAAGTTATTACAATTGTAGCAGCATTTTTATTCATCGTGGGCGGTCTATTATTGGTGTATGTGTTCAGAAGTTACAAGAAAAGACAACGACCATTATACGATTGAACTTCAACCAATCCAGCAATGTTCTTCTGGATTCATGAGGATGCACTGGATGAGGAAATAAAGGAGGCAGAGAACATAGAAGAGATGTGCGGAATGTTGAAGCTTGGGATCTTCTGTACTGGTAAAAGTCCAGCTCAAAGACCAACCATGAGAGATGCCTTGCAGATCCTCCAACATCCCAGCCCTCTATCACCGCATGGCAAAAGAATAAGTGAGGGGATATTGGAAGATGAAGATCATGGTTTACAAATAGAGGATAGAAACTGTGAAATTTTGGACTTTAGGCAATAGTAGATTGTAAATAAGCAGTTTTTCGTTTCGTAAATATGTAAGTGTTCTAATAGTGAGGGAATAAGTAGTATAAATTACGGATTTCAATGTTTGGTATACATGGGAATTGAAAGGGAATAAGTAGAATAAAGTCCAAAATGCTCATTGTTATTGTAAGACATCAATTTTAGGTTAAAAAGGGGAGGGGTAATTTTGTCTCATCATTATCTTTTTTTCCTTCTAAAATTCATGGAATTAAAATTCCAAGGGGGCATGGAGTTTTAATTTTTAATTTCATGAAAATGAGGGAATTACAATTTCGTGAAATTGCAATTCCTTCCAACCAAACTAAGGAATTTAGTGGCCTTTAAAATTATGTGGAAATTAAGTGAGAATGAAATTTAAATTCTCTACAACCAATTCAAACACCCTGTTAGAGTTTTTAATTTCTCCTATATGAAACTATTTTAAGCGTCATGTAAGTGATAAGAATTGAAATACTGTAAAAAGAAAAACACGCTAAATGGTAAAGAAGAAGATGAAGACGCGTCATGCATAGAGAAAAAAAAAATGATACTTAGCTTTATAAATTGTTAAAGAGTTAATACCGTTTGAGGTCCTCCGAGTATAGTGGTTTTGCCACATTTAGTCCTAAACTTTCAAATTGACCATCTGTGGTTCTTCGACTTTCAAATTTAACCATTTGTGGTCCAAGTTAACCACCCATGGTCCTTCAAGTTTCAAAACTTAACCAGTTGTGATCCTCTTGAAAGGACCATGGTTGGTTAAAATTTAATAGTTGAAGGACCATAGGTGGTTAACTTGGACCACGAATGGTTAAATTTGAAAGTCGAAGGACCACATATGGTCAATTTAAAAGTTTAGGACTAAATGTGGCAAAACCACTATACTCAGAAGATCTCGGATGGTATTAACTCAATTGTTAAATAACTTTTTTTAGGAGTATTTTATTCGAGTTGAAATGAAAGATAACATGTTTACTAATTTTATTTTATTTTTGTGTGTGTAGGTATATATAGACAATCATGGCTGATCAATCTACATCTACTCCTTCTACTTCTGCTACTGGACATAAAAAAAAAAAAAAAAAAAAAAAAAAAAAAAAAAAAAAAAAAAAGAGGCCTACAACATGCAATAAATTGAATAAAAGAGGCTAATAATGAACAATTTTCAGTTCAGGTTGATGGGTATAGTAGGGTAACCGGAGAAAATTCTACTAAATTTGTTTCGTACATTGCGACTTTGGTTCGTTCTCATGTTGATATCAACATCAAGAGTTGGCGTAATATAGATAAAAGCCTTAAAAATATCATTTGGGAACATGTTAATGTATATTCAATTACTTTATATTAATATATATATATATATATATATATATATATATATATATATATATATATAAGCTTGTGTTCATAAGAGACAACATCTTCCCATGAGACAGTAAGACAACATAAATGCACAAAGTCCACTTTACGAATGCATACACACTAAACTGTGTGCACCTCATGTAACTTATGTTGGGTTAAGTGCACACATTCTAGACTATGTGCATTTGCGTAGTAGACTGTGTGTATTCATATTGTGTCTCATAGGTTCGCTGAAAGATGTTGTCTCATTTAATTTTATATATATATATATATATATATATATATATATATATATATATATATATATTCTTATGTGTATGTTGGTATTTAGGATCAGTTTGGTATGCAAGATGATTCAAAAAAGTCTGTAGTTTTGAAAATTGCATGGTTGAGATGGAAAGACTTCAACAATAGATTGTTACGTGAATATGTTAACAAGAAGCACCCAAGGTATAACTCTCCTACATAGCTTTATGATTTCTTGAGTGAAGAACAATAGGGAAGTTTGTAGCAAAACGGCATACTAAAGAGTTTAAGGTATATTTAGCTCATTTAATTTTAAGTAAAGTGTTTTATCAATATTAACATGTCAGTGAAATCATATGAAAAAAGTTAGAAGGCAAGGGAAATGCATGCGTTAAATGAGCATCCACACTTCTTAAGTTCCGGTGGATATGTGAGGAAACGACAACTGGATGAAATCATACCCTCTATCTTCACAGTCTTCTTCGTGTGCGTTAATTAGGTCGTCCTTGGTGTCTGATGATCACAGCTTTGATTGGATACGAGCAAGTATCAAAAAATAGATGATGGAAGTTACATTATTCTAAATGAAAAAAAAAAAAACACTGGAAGTGTTTCATAAAATTGTAAGTATTATATTTTTTCCAAAAAAGGTCATAACAATACATAATATTTATAAAAATACTAATACTTGACTTATCTTATTTTTTGGAATAGGTAGAAAAATGTGAAGAAATTAATCAAGGGATATTAAAAAAAAAATAAAAAAAATCATGACATATTGTCAGCAGTTCTTAGAGAGGATGATCATTCAAGTTCTATAGGAGGAGTTGGTTCATACTCTACCATCCAAGGAGTGTTTGGTAGACCATATCGGAAACAAAGCACATCGAGTGGGGTTTACACAACAGATGCTGTCAAACAAATGATAGAGAAATGCAGGCAAGATACAATAACGGAGATAGAAGTAAAGATGAAACCCAAGATTGATAGCATGGACCAACAACTCAAGTTTTTTATGAAGAACATATCGGGAACACATCTATTTTCACAATGGGTCTCGGCTGGAACTCCTCAAAGTGTTTACCCCCTTTTGATCCACCGCTTTGTGATAAAAACTGCTTACTAATAGCAACTGTCATTCAGTTGACACATATCCAGTCACAACAATTAAGGTAACATCAAAAGTTATTTCATATATTAAAATATTATTTCTTGTTACATTAAGATTAACACACATTTTTTAATAATAGAGTCCAAAAAAGTGTTCACTAGCAGTATGTCCCGATGGCACACCAATTGTTGTTGCAAACAGTATGGGTCACCCAAGTACAGACGAGACTATGGTGAATCATCAACCATTCTTTCGTAACTGTGTCAAAGTTTGGGTGGATAAAATAGTGATTGATGGTGGAGAGCAATCTAATCTCCCCATGCCAGATCAGCAATATGTCACTATAGCATATATAGTTGGCAATTTTACACAATGGCCTATGCATTTAGTGATTTTTGATGAGGTATGCAATCTTATATTTAGATATTAAATTAGTTTTCATTGTTTATATTTAAAATGTTAGTAAAATTACAATTTTATATTTGTAGAGTTTACCAAAACAAAATAAGAAAACAAAAGATCAAAGTGTTGATCTATTTGCTTCTAGTACATGACTCCCCATTGTTGGTGATAATGTCTTACAGCACTTGGGGGCAATTGCATGTATTTAGTCAGTTTGTTTACAGGCTTTAATTTCCACTTGATAAAGACTACACTAAGTTGGAGATAGATGAGGCAATCTCTCATCATACAAACACGAGTTCTATTTTTGTGATAATGGATGATATGAAGGATTTGATGATGATGAAATGGCTTGACGTCTCAATCATACACATGTTTATATTGTAAGTTTTTTTTTTAATTATTCTTGTATTTTATATATATTTGTTTCTTATATTTATTGAAATTTCTTATTAATTATTTCTTAATTTTCAATTTGCTTAATCAGTTTCAAGTCAGGTCAATCGGGTTTGTTTGTCCGACTCATATTTCAAACAATATGTGTAAACGGGGTGTCCCTGTTGTTACTTCATATTTCATCCACGTCATGGAGCAGAACAAAGATAGATAATTTATTTTAGCACCATATCATTAAGAGTAAGAAAATTATTCTTTTACTTTATTAATATAACTTAATAAATTTATTTGAAGTATTAGATATTAAATTTTTAATATCTATGTGTGTTTTTTCAAATGTAGATCTCATTGGCTACTTTTGGTGATTTACATACTGATAAGTGGCAAAGACACTCATTTATAAGGGTCTTTATGGGGTCGTTTAGAGCTTAATTGTTATCCTTTGTGGTTGATTCATGGTCTAATGTGCTTGAATGTGCTAATGTGTTGCAAAGCTCTACCACATCATGCACTTTAGTGTTTGTGAAGGGATTTGAGCTTAAAGGAAGGTATATGGGTTTGAACCGGAGCATCCCGAGAATAGAGCAAAGCGGAGCCATTCAAGAAGAGGCATCCACGATCATGGAGCCCTCGTGGATTGAAACCAAAATGCATCCACGACAGGATCCATGAACGTGGAGCCCTCGTGGATTGAAACCAGAATGTATCCACGATAGGATCCACGATCGTGGAGAGGAACACGGATGATTTAAGTGCACGATTGACGAGCGTGGAGGGCTCGTTAACGGCTCGTGGATGCAGAGCAACGCGATAATTCAAGTGTATTTTGGAGGGAAAAGCTATTTAAGGCTAGATTAAATATTTTAGAGAGAATCTTTTGACATTCTATCTTAGTTCTTACATTCTTAGCTCTAGGAGCTAGGTTTTCTCTCTCTAGCCTCTTACACATTGAATTGAAAATCTCTTGGTGAAGGAAGCTTAACACACTTCCCCAATCTAGGAGATATTAGTAGATTGAATCTCATTTACAATCAAGTTTCGTAATCTTTACTTGCTTTCCTTTAATTACTTTGCTTAGTTGATCCTTGATGCAATGTTGATTCTCAAAGCTACCATGAGTGGCTAGATCTTTTATAGGAATTGAATTGTGATTCTATTGCATGATGTTAGTGTGAAATGTAATTCATAATTAGATTGTGCAATGCAATTGTAATTGAGATCTTGTTACAATTTGGTGAATTGATTGCGTCTTGTGAGTCCGGCCAGCTCTCTTGATAGTCCTAAGACAATTGATCTAGGCAAGAGCTAAGATTGCTAGATCAATTGTAACTCGAAGCTAATTGTATTTCCTTACTTTAAGATTCGAAAGGCCTAAGTTAGGAATGAGCTGAAGACCAAGTGTTTGATGAAATGCTTCTTAGGATCATAGTCACTTAAAAGGTGTTCTATACCAAGAAGATACCTAGTAGACCGAGAGGTAAAAGGCATTTGTAAAGCCTCACTTGAATCCATCAATTGCATTGTCACAACCTTGACCTAAGACACTAGAAGTATCATGTGATTGATGAACAATTCCATTCCTATCTTTCTTTAATTGCATTCCGATACTTGTTTTACTTTTAATCTCTACAACCTCAATCTTTATGCCTACAAAGCTTGCATGAACATGTATATGATTAGCATGAATCCTATTCCTTAGCTCAATGTCAATTTAACGCTTCCAATTTGTCATTCGTAGAGAACGATACAAAATCGGGAAGTAAAACACCCAATCTCTTGACACTCCAAATAAATCTTTGTCACATACGTTCAAAAAAAGTATGTCTTGGATTTCTTGCCTTGTGATCGCGACATTGGTGGAATTAAAGCTTCTCTGAATTTGTAAGTAAATACCTTATTATTAATATAAGTATTTTAACTTCTATTATATTATTTATAAATTTTTATGTATGTTTGTAATTAATATAGAGGATTTCACTCTGTTCCTACGAATGGACGGAATATGAACATTAATTGGATGCAATGCAAATTATGTGTGAAAATTGAATTTAAGCTTTAATGTGATATTTTGAATTACAATAAATTGTTTAAATTACTAAAATATATATGTATTTTGTAGTACCCGATACAACCAGGAACTGTTGAGTGTGGATATTATGTCATGTGATACATGTTTGATGTCGTGACAAAATATTTATCTGTTGATTATTTGGATAAGGTAAGTGAACTTAAATAAAACTATATATGTATAGTTAAATTATATTTTATTAATTAACATATTTAATAATTTTATTAATTAAATTATTTTGTAGGCATTTGGAAGCAATATTCTATATCTATATCAACAACATAAATGAGATTCGAGAGCAATGGGCAAAATACGTCTTTTCCCCATGCGTGCGACTGTTAGCTATAAGTAATATTTTATATATTGTTACGCTTTATTATATTGTTGATTAGTCTTTGTAATAGTTTAGTCTTCTGTGGCTTGCCTATTAGATAGGACTTATTTGCGTAGAACTAATCATCTATTTGTATTGTATTCCTATCCTATTGGAACTGAATTGATATTCTGTTATCTCATCTGGTATCAGCTAGACCGGGTTTGAGTTTCTCTCTCCACCACCGATTCCCTTCCTTTTTCGTTTTTCTTCCCGTCGACGATCGCCATGTCTGCCTCTTCTGAGCGCACGATGTCCGACGGCAATCCATCTTCTTCCCCAGCCCAAAACCCCCTAAACACTGCTCACCATTTCGTTTCCATGAAACTCAATTACCGTAACTTTTTATTCTGGCGAACCCAACTTGTGCCATTTTTGAATGGTCAAGAACTCATGGGATATGTAACCGGTGAATTTCCGTGTCCCCCAACGATGATCAATTCCTCCTCGGCAACTGGTGAATCCACCACCTCGACAACCACCATGATCCCGAACCCGGCTCATAAGGCGTGGGTTAAGCAGGATCAAACTCTGCTCTCGCTTCTCATCTCATCCCTCTCGGATGAGGTGATGCACCTTGCGGTCGGGCATACTACGTCAAAAGTTGTCTGGGATTCCATTAATACTGCCCTTGCGAGCTCCACCCGTGCGAGATGCCTAGGACTGCTCGGGCAATTCCATGCCCTTCGGCAAGGTGGCAGCAGCACTGCCGAATATTTAGGGCGAGCGCAATTGCTGGTTGAGGACCTCGCACATGCTGGCCGACCCATCAGCCTCGATGAACAAAATATGTTTGTTCTCAGGGGGCTACGGCAGGAGTACCGAGCCATGGCGTCTTCGCTAACCGCTGCCGGCACTCCAGTAACAATTCCGCAGATTGCGGACTATCTCCGGGCACAGGAGTTCCTGCTTGCGGAGGACTATCCAGTGGCGTCCGATCAA